AAGGGTTTTATACTGTAAAATATCCTATATCTTAAAGTAAAACATAAAAATGACAATAAGTATTGTCTTGCAATGGGGACCTTACCTTTTATGTAACAACAAGCTAAGATTTGGAGAATCATAGCATAAATAATCATACATAAATAATTTCAATTAACCAAGAGAGTACCATATACCTTATATATAGTATGTCCCAATATGTTGGTACAAGAGGGCAATATGTAAAGTAAAAAAAGTATTTGGGAATCTGTTTGGAAATATTAAAATAATTTAAATAAAATAAAATAAATCCCCCATCATGCTTTGAAACAATCAATTCATATTCTACATTGCCATCTAGTGACAGAAGCTGTAAGGACAGATTAGGTAAAGGGAGGTCTAAGGCATCAAGCTGCAATATGAATTAGTAAATACACACTTATCAAAAGTGCCGTAACACATACTGACAGTAACACCATCTCCCCTGGAAACCATCGTTTGTACATTTAAAACCTTTACCAAAAGACAAGTCTTCAAAATGTGGGCTTGAGTTGCATTTTGGTGAATACTGATGTTTGCACTCCATTACAGTTTAACTTGTATGTAAATTTGCAAGTCAGAGCAGCGGAAGCACAGGCCAGAATGTGATAAGAGCGGAAAGAAGACTGTCATTTTAGTGTGCAATGACCCAGTCTCACAGCTCCACTTGGAATCAGACCAATCTGTAGACTTTACCCTATCCACAAATAAAAAACGTGCAATTTGACAGAGTACATTTGGTTGGACTTTATGTAACATAATTATGCAACATGATCATCAATTTTAGACACTGGTAGTCTACAGGCACTGTAGGCCAAACTACTCTTAAATTAACGTACAAAAACCAAAACAATAATACTACTAGGGCCTCAGCTCCTTCTAAAACGACCCCTACCACTTTGTACTAACAAGCCTTCTACAACTTCAGCTATTACTATTGCTTCCTCTACTGCTACTGCAGTGTTTATTTAATGTTATTCTGACAGTAATCTATGAATGTGACATTGTTAGCAGTCACTGTGTGAAATACAATAATGTCTTTACTTGCCTACTACTAATACCACAGTGGTGGAGGAAGTTTCCAGATAACATACTTAAGTTAAAGTACTAAAACTATAATATAATACAGCATTACAAGTAAAATTGTTGCATTCAACATGTTATTGTAGTTTAAGAATATATATATATATTGTACAACACAATAGGCACACCACCTGCACAACACAGTATTGGTTTGAGTTGGGGGCTATCAGACAGCAAAGGCAAAGCATGAGAAAATCAGATGTATGGGNTGAGAAGGTTCTAGATATTCTAGAGGAGGTTCCAGGTGTTCTTGAGAAGGTTCCAGATGTTCTTGAGAAGGTTCCAGATGTTCTTGAGAAGGTTCCAGATTTTCTTGAGAAGGTTCTAGATATTCTAGAGGAGGTTCTAGATGTTCTTGAGGAGGTTCCAGATGTTCCTGGTGGTCAGCTGCTCTCACATCTCATCAGTTTGATCAGTTCAGCTGCTGATCAGTGATCAAACATCTGGAAACACACCTGATGTTTTTCTTCTCTCCTCTCAGGTAGCTGCTGACCAATCCCTGTGAAGAGCCTGATGACATCATCATAATGAAGATTGTTGTGTTTCTGACGACGCAGAGAAAAGTTTTCAAAATATTTAAATAAATAAATGAATATAATGAAACTTTAATGCTTTTATTTCTTTAACTAACTTTAAAGATTTGAGAAATTAATAAATCTGAGTGATGATCTGAGGAATCGAATCGAATACGTTGTTTTGCCTGACGTGTTGTTTTTGAAGATTTCGTCATCTCGTCTCTGAAGATGGAGAAGTTGAGATTTTGTGTGTTGTACAACATGAGACAAATACATGTTCTGTGGTTTCAATGTGATTTTCACAAACTGAGCACATTCCTGTTTTATCAGCAGAGCTCATGGAGGAGGTGTGTGGACAACACTACCTCCTGGTGGCTGAAATTTAAAACTGCTTTTCATGCTGTTTCTACTTTTCAATTATGTCACAATATCAACAATAAAAACTAAATATGTGAGTTATAGAAATGACAAATATGAATAAATGACATGGACATGAACACTTTGATCTTGTGCCTTCATTAAGCTCAGTTCCATTTAGTCACAACTTTGTCTAACTTAACATTTAACTATAACATTGTTATTTGATAAAAACTGAACTTCTCACAACTGTTCTCTGCGACAGTATCACGTCTTTTTTTGAATGTTTTATTTTCAGATTTTCAGCAGTTATGTAAAACACAATGATAATAACAACAACAAATTCTGAGAAAATCAAGTGAACACTGAAAACACTTCCTGGTCACGTTTGAAGATATTTAATGAATTCAGTTTGGTAACTAGTTGAACATGGAACAGTTGAGAGATCTGATCTGTTGGAAACTGATCAAAGTGTCACAGAGGAGCTGGTGAAAGGTCTCACCTGAGACAGCTGCTGAAGTTCAGGTCTCCTCCTCCATCCTGGAGATCTTCTCCGGCTCTGCCGTGGAGATCATCCTGACCTGGTCCTGACAGACATGACCACGAGGGTGGGGTCAGAGGTCAGAGCCCAAAGCATGACGGACACTTCAACCGGACGACGGACGGTTTAGACAGAAACACATTTACAATAAATCCATTTAAAAATTAGAAAGCAGAGTTTAAACTTTTTTTTTCAAGCAAATAAAAATTTAATTAAAAAAGATCAGACTATAAGAGGTGAAGAGATTAAAAGAGGTAAAAGACATAAAAACGAGAAATCTGTATAAAAATGTTCAGACTATATATGACCAGGGTTGAATAAAGTCTATGTTATAGATTATACACATCCCTGGTTATATGATCTATATTATAATCTATATAATATTCTATGTTATAGATTATACACAGCCCTGGTTATATGATCTATATAATAATCTGTGTATACAGTCTATGGTTCAGACTGTGTTTAACTGTATAGAACATAAACCTATTTCTATGATTCAGATCAGGATCGACTTTTCGTGTCTGATCCAGTTTCTCTCTCTTCACTCGACTCGTTGAGCCTGATCAGTCCAACATGGCGGCCGCCGCAGCTTCACGTGAACTCTTCACTGAGGGAGTGAGAGCGGTTCTTCACACGTGGCCCGTTCTCCAGGTAACACACACACACACACAGAGAGACAGACAGACAGACACACCTGAGAGAGACAGACAGGGGGCAGCCGTGAGACAGACGTTAAATAACGAGCCGGAGCTAACAGCTAAGAGGTTAAAGCTAACATGCTACAGGGTTAGCTGTTAGCTTCACGGAGGGATTGTTTTTGTGAAGACCGTGTTAGACAGTAAACCAGCATAACTTTAGTTCTAATCCGGTTCGACTCCAGTTTGTGTGAGTTTACATGTGTCTGCGTGTGTTCCTCAGATCGCGGTGGACAACGGGTTCGGGGGCGTGTACGCGCAGCAGAAAGCCGATTGGATGGTGGACGTTGTTCAGCAGTATTTCCATGACAACGGTAGGTCACCATGGTAACCTTACACCCGCGTGCTCAGTTGAATTTCATTAAAGCAGCGTGGTCACAGGATGAAGAGGGAGTGACACCTGCAGGTCAGGTTGAGACACAACACGATCACTAGAGAAGTAATGAGTTCACTGATCGACACGATCATCGATCATCTGTTTCTGCTCCGAGGCTGAAAACTTTATTAACCTGAGTCATGTGATCAACGTTAACCTGAAGTGGAGTTACTGACTGTGTGTGTGTGTGTGTGTGTGTGTGTAGCGGACCTGCAGCAGGATGAGGTTGAGGACTTCATTGCTGAACTGATGAATCAGGAGTTTGACACAGTGGTGGATGATGGGAGTTTACCTCAGGTACGTACACACACACACATGTTCACACTCAAACATACACACACCTGGTAAGACCCAAACATTTGCTCCTCCACCTGTGCAGGTGTCCGTCAGTCTGCTGCAGCTGTTCAGTCAGTGGCGGCAGGGGGCGCTACAGCAGCTCCAACACACCATCAACACTCTGACACAGAAGAAGAGTCAGAGGGCAAAGGTCACAGCTCCGCCCCCACAGTCTGACGAAGAGAGCGACACTGACACACAGGTACGCAAAGAACGCATGTCTGAAGTAGCACAGGTTACCATGGTACCCTACAACTGTCAGACAGCGGCACGTCGACCTGTGTTCATCCAGGTTCAGGATCATGTGACCCAGGTTCAGGATCATGTGACCCAGGTTCAGGATCATGTGACTTGTCTCTGATGTTTCTTGGTTGTAAACGTTGAGATCCAAAATAAAATGAATTGATTATTAACTGATCGTTTTCATTGATCTTTCAAGTGAAGATGAACTCTCTCTCTCTCTCTCCCTGTAGGCGATGGACTGTGACTCGTCCACAACACACAACCCTCCACCCCCCCCTCCCCCTCCTGAGGAAGACGGCTGGACGGTCGTCAGAAAGAAGAAGTGAAGAGGAGGACGAAGAGCAGAATGAACTGTTGACCTTTGACCGCCAGGAAGACGTGTCAAACAGACTCCTCCTCCTTCAGCGCCGGACCACGATGAGGTCTGTCCACCGTCTGTCCACCGTCTGTCCTGCCGTGTCCGAGCGTCTGAGAGTCCGGGTTCAGTTCTGGATTAAATGAGATCACGTCCACCTGAGAAGAGACTCACACAAACTGACGAAGCTTTGAATCACGTTTCCTGTCGCTGTCACCGAGGAGAACGTGTGTTTCAAAATAAAATGATTATTAATGTTCAGACGTTCACTTCACCATCAAAGCTCCAATATAAACATGTAGAGATGTTCAGTGGAATTATATTTAACTAAACATTATAACTGCCCCCCCCCATCATTGATCAAACTGTTGTCGCAGATTTAACTTGAACTTGTTGGGACGATCTCACCAGCAGAGGGCGGTGACTCTCCTGTCCTGTGTTTGGTTGTCAGGTTGAGTCCTGAGGCTCAAAGGTCTCAGACAATCTCTGATGAAACTTTATTTTCACAGAAGAAACTTTTCAAACACGTCATGTGACAGGTAGGAGGGGCGGGGCCAAGGCACTAATTGTCAGAACAGAAACAGGTGAAGAGGTCAGAGGTCATCTGAGGACGACTCGGCTACAGAGATCACTACTGTGGTCAGAGTCAGTGAGAGGGTCGGCTACAGTACACTCAGCGAGGAGGATCCAACGTCCTTATCAATAATCAATTATATTCTCACAGGTTTCATACAGGAGCAGTCAGACAGCAGAAATCAGACAGTGACAGAATTCAGCAGAAAAACAGTAGAATTCAGTCAAATGACAAGTTTTAAAATGAAGAAACCAGTAGAAACAGAAATCTGTGTTAATCAGCAGACGTCAACAAATCAGTAGAAATGATTAGAAATAAAACAGAAATGTGCAGAAATAATAGAAAACTCTAGAATTTGACAGAAATGAGCAGAATTCAGATGAATTTAACATAAATAAGTAGAAATATGCAGAAATGAACAAATTAGTAGAATTCAGCAGAAACATTTCTTTTCCTCTGACTCAGTTTTTAATTAATTGATAATTGATCCAATCAATATCCTGTCACTTAAAATTTGGGGTCAAAGGTCAGCAGGGAGGAGCCACCTGAGCCTGAATCTAGATGTCGAGGTGTTTTCGCTCCAGAGTTGTGAGGAGCATGGATCTCATCACGAGCCAATCACAGTCCAGGCTGTTCTGGTGTGTGATTGGTGGAAGCCGTCAGAGGAGGGACTTGCTCTTTATCTTCCAGCTCCTGAAGATGAATGAGTCTGATCATGAGTGAATGTTCTGAATGGTTCAGACTGTAAACAGTGTACATAAGAAGAACCACTGCTCAGAGACGACGCGTTCACACAAACTGCTGAGCTTGTTCTTTTCACTTCTTCTCAAACATGATATTTGATGATGATAATAAAAATATAAATAAAATCAGAGGTATGATTTTCATATCTTCATTTTCAGGTAAATATCATTTAGTTGATTTAAGAAAAATCTGAGATTTTCAGATTTCTGTGGTTGTACAAATACAGTAGTGTATCGTCTGCAAACAGACTGATGTCGTTTGAAAAAAACTGAGTTTATGTGAATCAACAGACGAGTCGACTTGATCAGGATCAACATAAATAAATATCTGAATTCAGCCTGTATGAAATCAGCGTGTGTGTGTGTGTGTGGGAGTCCACTCATGTCTGCAGCCACGTGTGCTGAAGACACTGCGCCGCTGTCGCTCTGCGTTCAGGCTGCAGATCCAACATCATGGACAGGAAGTCACTGAACTGAGCCGCCTGATCCAGTGGCCACTCGTACTTCTCCAAGAGAACCTCGAACAGACCCCATGGCTTCAGACTGGAGATGTGACGTAGCTCACCTGAGACAGGTAGAAAGGTGAGACAGAGGTGAGACACAGGTGTCTCCTTAAGGAGACAAGTGAACTACAACTCCCATGGTGCATTTCAGCCAATGAATGAGCTGGTAGACAGGCTCACCTCTACTGTTGAAGTACTCTCTGGAGTACCTGCCAGACAAAGCGAAGGGCATAGGAATGGGTCCAAGCAGCTCAATGATGTGAGCAATATGATCTATAAAAGTACACACAGAGAAGTAATCAAGTATGTTATACTGCACTACAGTGTGTGTGTGTGTATATATATATGTATATAATCAGAAAGTATGTTGTGTAGTGTGTCCTGTGTGTACCTTCATCTCGTGTGTAATCTTCTCCCGAATGAGGTTCAAACAGATAATCTCCCGTCGCCAACTCAAACGCCTGAAACATCAACCGAACAACACATCCGTAAATCAGTCAAACAACGTGAACACCTGAACACACATGTGTATAAATATGTGCAGGTGTGTGTGTGTGTGTACCATGCAGGCGGTGCTCCAGATATCGGCAGCTGTTCCGTACTCTGCTCCTATCAGAACCTCCAGAGCTCTGTACTGTCTGGTCTGAATGTCCTCTGTGAAGTGTTTGTGCTGGATGAGAGACAAAGACACACAGACAGACAGAGAGAGAGAGAGAGGAGCTGTCTGATTGGTCTACAGAGGAACAGGAAGGAGGAAGAGGAGGACATGATGAAGCTGTCTCACCACCCAGCAGGCATTGCCCAGATCTGCGATCTTCACTTTCAACTTGTCTGCGTTTAGAGGATCCAGAGGACTGAGGACGAAATCTGATGCCGTGAACACTGCAGAGAGGGTGAGACAGGAGAGACAGGTGAGACACATGAGACAGGAGAGACAGGTGAGACACATGAGACAGGTGAGACACATGAGACACATGAGACAGGTGAGACAGGTGAGACAGGTGAGACACATGAGACAGGTGAGACAGTGTCAGGTTAGTCACTAGGTGTGTTCAACTGTACATGATCAGGTGTGTATGTTTATGTGCATGTTTTTCAACCTTCTCGTCCACTCGAGTATCCTGACTGAGTCGAGAGGGCAGACTCAGACGTTGCTGACATCACAGAACTGGAGAAACTTGATAGGCCGGAGGCAGGGCTGGAGAAACGCCCAGGGGCGTGGCCATTACAACTGTCCTCTAACCAGGAGCAGGTCGAATCTGGACTTGTTTTACTATTGGCTGCGGAGGAGCTGTGGTTACCATTGACAACCAGAGAACCTGTAAACAAAGAAAACTGAGCACTGTAGCTGAAGTACTGTAAGTAACTAAATTACTGTGAGTAATTACTAAAAATAATTTAAGTACTATAAGTAACTCACATACAGTAAGAATGTTAGTACTGTGAGTAACTGAAGTACTGTGTCTGCATGTATATCAGTGTGTGTGTGTGTGTGTGTGTGTGTGTGTGTGTGTGTGTGTGTGTGTACACTCACAGTTAGTGTCTGTGTCGTCAGGTAGATGAACTCCACCCTCATCCATCTTCTGCAGACACACAGGAGGAAGAGGAATCTTATTTTGAAAGTTTCTTTTGTCATTTCCTTCATGGTTGTGATTGGCTGCAGTTTATCAGTAGTTACCGTAGTAACTTTGTTTCTATGAGTTACCTGTATGTCAATGAGTCTCTCCTCCAACAGCTTCTCTTGACGCTTCGCCTTCCTCTTCAACTTCTTCTTCTTGTTCTTAGACATCTTACCAACCTACACACACACACACACACACACACACACATACAGTCTGGTTTGTTGTTTGATGTTCAACAGGAAGTGTGGGGGGGGTCACACCTTGACACTCACCTGTCGATCCCTGGGAGCCGTGCTAACTAGAAAGAGAGACAAAGAGACAGACAGACAGGGAGGGAGGGAGAGAAAGACAGGAAGAAAACATCAGAAACAAAAACAGGAAGAAAAGATGGAAGAATGGAAATAATATAGAGACAGACAGGTGAGAGGAAGACAGCTGTCTGTCTGAACACACTGAAACCACAGCTCCCAGTCACTGATATCTAAACCGTGTCCCTCCACCGGTTCAGATCACTGAAGTCCTGGCCTCAGATTTTGTCTCACATCGAACAGTTTAACAGTTTCCAGTCATTTATGTCCGACCAGCACGTCACTGCTCCTCACCTGATGATCCTGAGGGGGGCGGGGCTCCAGCTTTCTGCCAGATGGTCGCTTCTGCGGCCAACCTCCTGACGTAAACATCGTCAACGTCCAATAAGATGTTCTCTGGTTTGATGTCTGTGTGGATGATCTTACACTTGGTGTGAAGGTAGTCGAGTCCCTGGAGCACCTGAGAGAGACAGAGTCACTAATGATGTCACACATCACATGGTGACGTCACAGTCACTGATGATGATGTCACAGATCACTTTGATGACGTCAGAGCTGTTACCTGTCTCAGGATGGTCTTGACACTGACCAGAGGAAGTCCCATGTAGTTTGACTTGATGATCCACTTCAACAGCTGATGGCCCAAAACCTCCAGAACCATACAGACGTCTGAGAGCAGCTGAGGACAATACTGACTGAGAGACAGACAGGCAGACAGACAGAGAGAGAGACAGACTGACAGGCAGGCAGGAAGGTAGAGAGAGAGAGAGGCAGACAGACAGAAAGACAGAGAGAGAGAGAGACTGACAAGCAGGCAGACAAAGAGAGAGAGAGACAGACAAGCAGGCAGGCAGGTAGAGAGAGAGACAGACTGACAGGCAGACAGACAGAGAGAGAGACAGACAAGCAGGCAGGCAGGTAGAGAGAGAGAGCGAGACAGACAAGCAGGCAGGAAGGTAGAGAGAGAGAGAGACAGACAGGCAGACAGACAGAAAGAGAGACAGACAGGCAGAGAGACAGAGAGAGAG